ACTCACTAGCCCGATGGCATCCGCCCCCCCCTGATCTCAAATCAAGGGTATCCCCCTTGACCGTTGGTACAAAGTTGTTAAATTCAACTGTGTTCGTTTAAACATTGGCTCACACTTTCCTTTGCCATTGGTGTCCATGCCAGATAATCCCACCTCTAAGCTAACAATAGGAACTGTTTTGAATATGGAACTCAAAACCCTTGCCTCTTTAATTTTATCAGAACATTCCATCAGTTTTAAGAGCAGTGTTTGTTGTGTAGCTCCCTATATGCAACACAACTCGCCCTGTTTCTATCATAGATAAGCTTGCATACCACTGTATACAGAAACTCGCATCAGATCCGGGTCACAGAATGTCACTACAAGATTGGCAGCGTCTGGCGCGTCCTACACAGCGTCCTCCAAAAAAACAGCTTAAACGTGCTGGTAGAACAGGTAGTGATGGTGTAAGATGTTAGTTAATGTGGTAGGACTGGCCGCCAACAGATAGAGGTACTGTTAGTGTGGGATAAGATAATCAGGAAAGGATCGTTTTCCTTTCTCCAGAGACGGCCAGAGAAGAGACGTGTTGTAAGAACCATTGTACGAACTGAAGGGTTGTTTTTACTTACTTGCTGTTTAAATTTGTATTTTTTTATATACCAGATCTAAGCAACCCAAATGAAAGGAAAACAATAACCCTATAAGGGGATAATTAGAAACAATTAGCAGCACTAAAGAAATTAAACTCAAACAGCAACTAAAACGAAGACCAAAACAAAATTGAAAATTATTCTCAGTAGTACTAAAAATTTGAAAACTCAAAAACGACAACCACACCAGAAGAGCAGAATGTGTCCATGATTGGTGCGTGTTCAATCAACATGGAATGCTGGCTTCTACTGTTTTAGTATGTACAATTTAATTTATTATATATATAATAGTAACCTGTTTAACTAAATACAGGGTGGGCCAAAAAGACGAGTGACATACGTTGGCCTTAATATCTCGGTCACTGATTGACCAATTGAAATAATCCTTTCTGGTATGACTTACTACCACCACTGGTTCGCAGGATTTGTCCAAATCGAAAAAAATATTCGAGTACATTTTTTCAAATGAAGTTCATTTTTGCATTTAATTTCCTAGTATGGATAGTCGGATCGGCTAAATTGATTTAATTTGAGTTCGAACCATACGCAGAAGCAAAAGCCTCTCAAATATAAAACACGGCGAGCTATTAAGGCCCACCGCATGCCCACTGACTTTTGGCCCACCCTGTATTATTATATTATGAACGTGTGTTTAATGTGTATGTGCATTAGTCTACAAAACAAAAGAAAATGATGGTTGAAGTACAATTTCATACTACAACTGACAACACTGATCCCCCTCATAACACTTGAAGTGAAATGAAATGAAATGAAATAAAGCATTTTCAACCCGCAAATATCAACAAACCAAATTATAAAAATAAAGATTGCCGATGTCAAAGCGGCTGCCTATGAATTATACCCTAAACTAAGAATAATCAGTTGATGAGTATGATATAAAAAAGATCCATAACCAAATTAACTTAAAGACATTAAAAGTTAGAAATCGCAACGTAAAAAAAACAACATTAAGATGTATATCATTAACATTATTATAAATCTTATCATCCACTACCTTGTCCCTTACAAACAAATTTTATTACCATTCTTGTATAAAAATACCAACCATCTTCATATCAACACTTTGATTTCTCCGGCAACTTCCCCTAGGGCTGCCATACCCCAGAGGCAGGCAGAGCATCCTCATGCTATCCTCTCGTGGGCCACCCTAAAAACTTGCCTAAAGAGCTAAAGCTAGTATTGATCTGCTTATTTAGTAAATTACTTAATTAGATAATTAGTATAATTAGATAATTAGTCATTAGATAATAAGTTAATTATATGTGGATTCTGTCAGGGCCGGAGGGATGTGCACCCTAGAAACTTACCACTTACCTAAAGCTATATTGTTTCTCTGCCATCCACAACGAGCACTATCTTCCCTCCTGATGAGAGAGCGCATTTTTCTCATATAAGGCATCACGTCGTGTTTTAACATCTCCTTATTAGGGCATCACTTGGTGTTTTTACAAAATCACCTTAATTAAGGCAATCACGTGGTGTTTAACATCTCCTTATTTGGGCATCACGGGAGTTATTACATCTCCTTAATAGGGCAACACGTGGTGTTTTACATCTCCTTATTTGGGGCATCACGTGTGTTTTACATCTCCTTATTAGGGCATCACGTGATCTGCTTCCACTTTCTTCCCTTCTGAGGTGAATGCGCATTTTATCTTCCTGTAATTTCAATATTGTAAAGCTGATTTATTTTTATTTGGCTGAATAATTATTGGTATATAGAACGCTAGTATTCCAATAATTTGGTCTTCACAGTTTTATTTTTCTTAAAACCCATTTCCCTCTTTTCTCTACATTGAATTAGATTGAAGTGTCCCCAATGAGCCAATCTTTGCACAGGGAATATTTGTACCTGTTAATATCTCAGAAATTATATGTATTACATATTCTGAATGTGATATATAGCTGTGGGGCCCCCTTTATATTATACCTTCTACACTTGTTGGCATAGTTAAAGAGATCATGGAAGTGTAAATTTGCGATTCTTCAAAAATCACGACACTTGGGTATGATCTAGGCTTTGGTAATTCTGCCGCAATCCAAAAATGCTCCGTCGTAGTTTGCTTCACAAGCTGAGATAATAGGGGGCAATCAATTACATTTTTCCAAGTTGCGGCTAGGTGATAGATAGCATATACGACATGTGTAAAAAACACCTGATTTTTAAATCGTCCATAACAAGTTTTCTTTGGGTTATTTTTTTGAACCGACAAGATAACCATCAGGTATCAACCATTATATTTTCCATATCTTTCTAAATTTGGTGTACAGCATTTAAATCTAGTTTCCTACAAGCAATTAAGGCAGCTCACTTTCATGGACTTGAATGTAGCACGAAATCCCTGAATAATAAGCTTTTAATTTTAATGCCAGCAGTGCGGCTGTGTTCAGCTAATCTTCATGCACATTTTGCTGAATGCCAACGAAATTAACTTGCTCAAAAAATTCAAAAAAACATGGTTTTTTTTGGCATACTTTTGGCCCCAAAAACGGTTTTTTGCGATTTTAACCTAGGGAAACTCAGACTTTATCATATCAAAAACCACTTTTAATCGATTCTATCGGGTCAAAAATAAGTCCTAGAAAGATTATGTGGAGTCCCAGCGTATCAAGCAGAAATGCCCGTTAGAGCTTCTACTAGTAAATATATAAAACAATTATTTTGAACGCTAGTGTATATTATGCACCTTATACAACCACAATTTTCGAAAGATAAAAGTCAAATCTATCAAGTGTCGTTTAATTGAAGAATTTTATCAATTAAATTTGGCGCCACAGCACATGAATAAAAATGTGCATTTCAACACTGTTTTCTATTGCGGTGTCTGACGTTAGCGCGCAATCCAACAAAATAGGGCCGATCTTCAAGTATCGATTTTCACGCGACATAATTAATTGCGAATACTGGGATACCGACCCGTATTCTTAAATTAGTTGTTTCTATGTGATAGTATATGTGAAATGTTGTGACGATTAAGTCGGGACACTGTGATCCCTTAAACCCCTGATTTAACAAACCTGATACAACATATCAGTACCCAGTATATTAAACCGCTCCCTCCTGAAACGTGTTTGGAGAGATTATACTGTGGATTAGCTAGTCACAGGGAAACACACCGTGAGTTTAGAAATATACTAATTAGTTAAATACTAATTAAGTTTAATTACTCCACTTATTTTAATTACTAATTAGTTAATTACTAATTAGTTAATTACTCAATAAGTTAATTACTAATTAGTTAATTACTAATTAGTTAATTACTAATTAGTTAATTACTAATTAGTTAATTACTGATTAGTTAATTACTAATTAGTTAATAACTTATAAGTTAATTACTAATTAGTTAATTACTAATTAGTTAATTACTCAATAAGTTAATTACTAATTAGTTAATTACTAATTAGTTAATTACTAATTAGTTAATTACTAATTAGTTAATTACTGATTAGTTAATTACTAATTGGTTAATTACTAATTAGTTAATTACTAATTAGTTAATAAGGTGCATCGTTAAATGATCAGTAATTCAAGTGATGAGTAATTTATTGCAGATTTCAAAAGTAAGGTTTCAAATACTGGAAGTTTCATATCTTAAGTAGTAGAATGCATACATAGCCAACTAATCTCAGCTATTGCTAAGCTAGTTTTGTATATTAAAGTTATTGATTGTAACGAATTGGAATTGCGCATTGCTCAATTCAAAAATATATTAAATATACACATTATTTACATATTATTGTTTTTTTCGCCTCAGTTAATTGTCTACTATATCTTTAAATCAATATAAAATAATTATAACCTTAAATTATTATTTTATCAGTATTTGAACGATTTAATAAGACTGCACCTGTCTTTTTTATTAATTATTCGACCATTCCGTCCATTGTTAGTTAAATAGTTTGAAGACTTCCTGGGATTTCATGCAGTTGTTGAGTCATGTGTAAAGATCTGGTCGAAACAGAGGTTTCAGGAACTACCAAACGAGAATAGTTACGATAAACTGTCCATCTTGTTAGGTATGGTCCGACATAATTTGGCCCTGAAAGAGGTGAAACAGCAGCCAAACTGAAGAAAGCAAACAATATACATAAATTCAAAAGTTTCGTAATTTTCAAACATCGTTTCAATATCACACTATTTGTGTTCATTTGTTCGATATAAAATCATATTTTGACAAACAATATGTTAAAATAATTCGCTAAGGTTTTGCATCTTCAAAATGCCCAAAATTTTGATGATCAAAATCCCCTAATAATTAAATTTACCTGTTTCAATACCTGATACCTTGTATGTTTTTTTTCGATGCGGCTTTGAATTAGCCCTAATATTTAATCTTATGTGCTATCTGTTAGAGCTCTAATGCTATATAATTATGTTAAAAAACCTTACCAAAGTCAACAAAAAGCTCGCTGCCACATTCCAACTCCTCTCCCTCCTTCAGCATCTTCACACGGTACTCATACACTCCTGCAACATCAACCTTTAAGAACATCTCATTTATACCACATTTTTCCAGACAGGTGTGAGATACTATAACTTCTCCAGATTGGTCCACCACTGCCCAGGTTAGTTTGTCCCAGGTCACATCTCCACCCGTCGTCTTTACAGGTAGGTACGCTTGCTCTTCTTTCTTTGTGTCTAGTGGCAGGCAGGATAGTCCCACATCTGAAACGAAGATTGGGGCTGTTACATTTACTGTCTGTCTAACAAAATCACATACTATATTCTTTAAAAAACCGGAATTTATTCCATTATACGTAGAATTCTCAATTTCTTCTTCAAGTCATTCTGACTGATATATTAGCTCCTTAACCTTTAGTACAAGAAGGTGCTTCCTCAAAGATGAACTCTTGATCTTTAGCACAAGTTATCATGTGAGCTCCTGACAAGCCATACCACGGGTGGTTACAACTGATTTCTATCACTGTATCTTCTACGATCGGAAACTTTACTTTTGTCACCAAACGATCAATTTGTGGAAGACTCCCGCAGGTTTCTGTGAGTTGTATGAGCGGTGATTTCTGATCTAAGCGATTAATACCAAGATTGAAAGATAATTTGGTTCTGAAGATAATGTTGATAAATTGATAATAAACTCAGAGAAGACAGTACACCCGTCGCCCTTCCTATTCTTACACTATTGTACACTATAACAACCGAAATAAGTCCAAAGGTAAGTTAGTCTAGCAAAACTGTTCTGCACGTTTACATAAAAATATATAGTCATACTCCAAATTGAAGTAAAACTCATTAACAGTGCATGCCTAAATCAGTTGATTTCATTGTATTGATGAAAAATCTTGTCCACAGATTAAATTGTGTCGTCAGTCTTATTAAATTAAGACATACAAATACATATATTATCACCTTCTTTTGCTTCTAATACATTTGCTTCAGATATAAGGTGACCTAGGCTTTTTCCATGATTTTCATGTTGATCAAGTTCTGTATCAGTGATGTAGATCATATCACCTGCAGCTCCTTTACAGTCCAGAGAGAATGTCTGGAATTCTACACTGTCGTCGTAATCTTGTTGGAGAAAATATCATTAAAACTCAAATCGTTTTGAATGTAAATCTTATGAGTGAAATTTCTGTCTCTTCTGTCTCTTCTGTACTGCCACGACTTTTCTAGATTAATATTAGACGCTAATAAGTCAATTATCTTACCAGTTATTTCTTCACCGCAATCTGCAACTTTCGTTTCTTCCTCCCCCTCAGTTGAGTACACCATGACCACTGTGCCAAGTATTCTTTGCTCGCAACAATCTTCCTTTACGTTTGTCAGCTTCACTGTGCCTATTCTGTACTTTTGTGACAAGAACAGTTTCAAGAAGTTTCCTTCAGCATCAATGTCCTTCACCCTATATGTAGTCGTGTAATCTCCGTCATAGGCTTTCTCAGGAGCATAATGTGTAGCTTCATTAGATGAGTCTTTGTACCAGCTTTTTGCTTTAGATCGTACTATCGGCAAAATGTCTGAAATGGTATCAGTAAGATAATATGTTATTGTAGCTCCGACTCAATCTCTAAACTGAGCTATTTATATAAAAGTCCAAATATTGAAAGGTGCACACTAAAGTATTATAATTAACTTTCTTATTACCGCACCGCCTGACAGACCGGTTCATCTCACCTAATCCGAATATCTCAATTTCAGCAATGTTGTGTCCCGCTTCTGCATCATAATCCAGATCAGTCAGGTACAGCATGTCCCCCACTACACCGTCACAGTTCAGAGAGTAGGTTCGACCTTCTATAGTTTGTGTGTCCCCGGGATTCACCTCTGTAATTTGAGTAGTATCATTACTAAGATATTCATCAAAGAATTTCGTTATTGATTATCTTATAGCCGGCTTATAGCCGGCTTATAACCACTTTTGATACCTAAACGGCTTATAGCCGGCTAATAGCCGGCTTATAACCGGCTAATAGCCGGTTTCCCTGAATTTCTTATAGCCGTTTCCTGACTATCGTTCAGTACGATGTGGTTGAATTAATATCTTATAGCCGGCTTATAACCACTTTTGATACCTAAACGGCTTATAGCCGGCTAATAGCCGGCTTATAACCGGCTAATAGCCGGTTTCCCTGAATTTCTTATAGCCGGCTCCTGACTATCGTTCAGTACGATGTGGTTGAGTTAATATCTTATAGCCGGCTTATAACCACTTTCGATACCTAAACGGCTAATAGCCGGCTTATAACCGGCTAATAGCCGTTTTCGCTGAATTTCTTATAGCCGGCTCCTGACTATCGTTCAGTACGATGTGGTTGAGTTAATATCTTATAGCCGGCTTATAGCCGGCTTATAACCACTTTCAATACCAAAACGGCTAATAGCCGGATTATAACCGGCTAATAGCCGTCGCTCAACAACAAATGTAAGCGGCTATAAGCCGGCTTATAGCCGGCTATAAAAATTGTAGCCGGCTATAAGCCGGCTTATAGCCGGCTTATAACCGGCTTATAGCCGGTCGGTGATCTACCAACTGGCCATTGAGTCTATTGTTCCGGTCAGAATCCTGCCCCCAGTCGACCACTGTTTAACATACAGTGCATTCTCCCAACTTCTCAATAAAACTACAAAGCGTCAAGTGTTTTAACACGCATAGTGGTGACTAAACCAAATCCACAATCACCTTTTGTGAAATCATTTCATATCTTCAGGATACAATGTTACCGCATCTCTTCGTCCTTGTTTTCGCGTGTTGTCATGGCTACAAGATAGGACTCATCCTTGATTCTGAAGATCATGAGGGGGCGGATGCCATCAGGAGACTAGCTGAGTACACCATCTCCAGACTAGACAGCAGTGACACTACTGTGGAGCTAGTGGAGCAGTACCACGACTCCACCTACCTCAGTCTCCAGACCTGCTTCTGTGCTTTACTGGAGCAGGAGGTGGTAGCTGTGATATCAGCATGTGATTTTACTTTAACAGATATCCAGGCTAACTTAGCTAATCAGTTCCATCTTACTCTCATAGCTGCAGTTGCCACTAATCCTTTCACTGACTTTCACAGATCAGATGATTTTGAGATCCGGCTGTCCCCATCAGACGCCCACCAGAGTCAGGCTATATTCGACTTGTTGAAGGAGTATAAATGGTACGAGTTCTCAATCCTCGCCTCAGCAGATGATTATGGAATAAACAGTATCGTGTATCTGCAATATTTAGCGTCCCAAGACGATAACTTCGGCATCAAGGATGTTCAGCACTTTGATGTGCGGATGGACCTGTCAAATCATCTGCCTGTCTTCGAGAAGCAGCTTCAACTTATCAAAGATTCGCTCACCAAAGTTATTGTTCTCAACTGCGGGGGCAAGTACGCGAAAAAGATTTTCAAGTGAGTAGAGCTTTTCGTGGATTACTTTAGTTATTTGTTGGCATCTTTTGGAGTTTAGAAGAATTTTACGAAATCCAAAACATTCGATTAAAGTATCCTTTACATTATTAACCCATTAGGGACGATAGGGTCGTTTTTATGGCCCACCTTTTCTAGACGAAAAACCAAATTACTAAACGCTATAACGAATCTATAGCATATATGCTCAAAATTTATTGGGCTACATATAATGAAGCCCAATAAATTTTGAGTATATATGCTATAGATTCGTTATAGCGTTTAGTAATTTGGTTTTTCGTCTAGAAAAGGTGGGTCATAAAAACGACCCTATCGTCCCTAATGGGTTAACAAAATGTACACAATATTTAGGACAATAATATTTAAATAAGGCGTGCACATATGTCAGGCTAAAATAAAAACAAGTGGTTTTGAGCACATCAGTTATACAAACATACAAACATACCTTACTCGGGAATATTATAGCGGGTTAATTTATGACTGGGAAAATTAATAACCGGGAAAAATATGGCGGAATTTCCCAAAACCCGCCAAATTATCCCGGTCATGTATTTACCGGTGGCCGACCTTTCAAGATTTTTTCAGAGGTCAACAAATTTTCAACCGAAATTTCTGTTTTTGTTACTAATCTTGTTAAAGAAGTTATTTCAATTTACAGTTACTGATATTACTCAGAAATAGAAAAAAAGACACGTCTAGTATTTAAAGGAAAATAAATCTATAGCAATAATAAGTCAAATCTTCATTAAAGCGTATTCTCATTCTCATTATCGCTAATGTCCCCTCCATTATCATTATTGATATCCCCCTGCTGCTGACCGTCAAATTCGAAGTTGTATTGTTGGGGGGGGGGGGGGGGGGGGGGAGCCAAGTAGATTTTTGTAGATATTTGGATAATGTCATCCACTTTTTTCGTGAATTATCCATTACAATAATCTACAAATATCTACATTTATCTACAAAAATGTATATCTCAATTATGTGCCCAGAAATTCTACTGAATTTTTGGAGATAAATGTATAAATTTGTAGAATTTTCGTGAATTATCCATTGACAATAATCTACAAATATCTACATTTATCTACAAAAATGTAATCTCAAATATGTGCCCAGAAATTCTACTGAATTTTTGGAGATAAATGTATAAATTTGTAAAATGTCATCCACTTTTTTCGTGGATTATCCATTCTACATTAATCTACAAATATTTACAAATATCTACTTGGCTCCCCCCCCCCCCCTATTGTTGTCTTAACAAGACTTTCATTTTGTCCGCTAATGGGGCTACTGCTCTGAAGGTCAGCCGGAGCTTAATTTCCTGCCCACCGCTTGATATTGGGGAACGTCTTGGCTTTGCATCTTCAACTGCTCCAGTAATCAATCCACCGTGGACCATGAAATAGTGGCACAGTTTACTCACTTCATGGGCAAGAAAAGTGAGAATCACGGTCCACCCTGAAATCTGATTTCTATAACCAAATTGTGATTTTTATAACGAAATTATGGTAGCAACCGCCAATAAAGTTACAGCCCTCCATCCACTGCTTCAAAAGTCTTCTCTAGCACATATGAGACTTCAGGTAAAATATGATGATCACCACCCCCTTGGAACCCCATAATCTGAGTCGGCGGGTTTTTTTATGACTGGTAAAATTTTTGACCGGGAAAAATATGGCGGAATCTTCCAAATCCCATCACTTTATCCCGGTTATAATAATCCCGAGTAAGGTAAGTTTTACAAATTAAACTAAGTATCATGACCTGATATGTCACTTACAGTAAGTCTTTCTGACCAGTAGAGCTTCCAATCCACTCAATACAAAAGGTAGACGTTACGTTGAAGATGAAATACATTTTGAGCATAGCTTAATATCACAGTATTCTTACCTAAATATGCTTTACCCCTAGTCAATGTCATCAATCCAGGCAGGGTACTGGCATGGTGATCTGTCCCTATTACCATAGTAACCTGGTTACCTGGTTACATAGTAACCTGGTTACCTGGTAACCTGGTAACCTGGTTACCTGGTAACCTGGTAACCTGGTTACCTGGTTACCTGGTTACCTGGTGACCTGGTTACCTGGTTACCTGGTAACCTGGTTACCTGGTTACCTAGACAATGTCATCAATCCAGGCAGGGTACTGGTTATCTGTCCCTATTACTTGTTCAATGTTCCAGTGGTTACAAAACTTCATTTCCATGGTTTCAAACCGTAGAGTCCTGAGCAACTTGTACTTCTCTCGATTGAACACTTCTGTTAATCCTCCAACAAGCTCCACTCCCTGAGTCCGGCTGTGATCGTCTACTACGATGAATGCCGGACAGAACACTACTTTCTTTCCCGCCCCCTTCAACCGCAGGAAGAAATCTTTGTGCTCAACTATTTTAAGTTCTTTGCTCCAACCTCCCACCGCCATAGCATCTTGTGTTCTTGCCACGAACCTTTTAAATTAACTGAAATATCGAACTCGGCTTCGCCTGTGTGATTATGGGCACTATCCGTGCGGAGTTAGTGCCCCATTAATCAATCGGTGGAGGTTTGGGTTGAAGTGCTCTCTAACACAGTGCGATTAGTTTACTATCTCACCTGTTTTTAGTGCAATAACTACACAGTCGTGCGATTTTAAAAACTAATTGCACCGATTTATATAAAAACCAGACGCGTGGAGATATACGCGAATCTAACTGGCATGTATTAATCGATTACACCAGTTTATTGCACTCGGTTGCCACCTCGTGAAATAACTGAAATAATCGAACTCGGCTTCGCCTCGTGTGATTATTGGGCACTATCCGTCGCGGAGTAGAGTCCGCGGCGGGAGCCGCCCGGACTCCGGCGGTCTCGGCGGTGCCTCCGCCAAAATGTATTTACCACTGGGAGCTCGAGTACATTTTGGCGGAGGACTCGGAGGGAGCCGAGCGGACTCCGAGCGGACTTTAAAGTCCGCCTGCGGACTCCGAGCGGCTCCGCGGGGGGGGGGGGGCCGGCGCGGCGGAGTGTCCCGCGGACTAAGCACGTGGCGGACTCGGTCCGCCGCGGACTCCGGCGGAGGCTTGGCGGACTTCGCCGGACCTCTCCGCCAAGAGTGAATCCGGCGGAGTCCGGCGGAGCTTGGCGGACTCGTCCAGCTCGGCGGACTCCGCTCGGAGTCCGCCGGCTCAACAGAGTCCACTGACTTCGACCTCCGACTTCCGACCCTCGGCTAAATTGGCACGTGACATACATACTAGCATTTTGCAATATGTGTCAGATGAAAAGGTCGCTAGTGATAAACCTTAACCATTACCTCAACAATGACAATAGTGTCACACCTCTAGTCCTATAACTTTGACCTATAATGT